ACGGGGGGGGGGCGATCGCAAGGAGAGGGGGGTAGGCACCTTTTCTCGTAGAGGCACACGGTGTGATCTGCGGATGGGAAGAAGATGGGATACATATACCTATATATCAGATCCTATCTTGATTGGATAGACAGATAGATGGCAGAATGTTGGGAATCGCCCATTCGCTCTCGCCAGGCAAAAAGAAGGGGGCAGAGCGCCTACGCACCGTATGAGCCCGTGGCGAAGTACCGGCCTTCCGGATGCCACGCCGTGCACACCACATACCTACCATGGGGGGGGCGGGCGGGCGGGATTGGGGGGGGGGTGGGGTGGACGGCTGGATGAGTCCCGCCACTTGGTGGGGGGGGGGGTGAAGTGGACGACGTCGGCGTGGCAGGACCAGCGGCCACGCAAAGGAAGGAGGTGGGAGGAGGGGGCTCGCACTTTCTGTGGTCGGAGAAGCGCTGCTGGACACTCGACGAGGCCACGCTGACGAGCGAGGCCGTTCCGTCCATCGAGCCGGACAGGAGCTGATCCCTACGGTAGTACCGTGGATCACCCTCGCGTAAGCCCATTAGGCCCACACGACACGCGCCACGCCACACATGGCACACACACACACGACACGACACACACACACACACACACACACACACATGCAGCAAAGCCGCTGGCTGTGTGAATGCAGAAGCGTGGATCGACGAAGGGCGTACGGCTGAACGGGGCTAAAGGCGATGCTGATGACGCCGGCCTGGTGGTGGTCAAAGGTGGCGATGTGGGCGTGCGATTCGTAGTCGGTGATGCGGATGGTCTTGTCGGCGCTCCCCGTCGCTAGCCACGTCTTCTCGGGGTCGGGCGAAAACGCGACCGCGAGCACGGGCTTGCCCGGGTGGAGGTTGTCCAGCGACGCCGACATCGAATTCACGAACCGCCCGCTGCCGCCAGCCAGCTGCACCCGCGCCCACCCACGCACACCCAAGCATACCGCGAGGCCAACACGTGACGATTCGATTGGTGGCGGGCTAACCATAGGCGCCGTTGAATGGTGCATGGTGTGCTGTGTGTGTGCTGTGTTGTGTGTGCTGTGTGTGTTGGTGTGTGTGTGTGTGTGTGTGTTGTGTGTGTGTGTTGTGTGTGCAACGTTGCTGCAACGTTGTCCCGGGTAGAGGGCAATTGTGGGTTAACGCACGAGCTCTTCCAGATGGGTCTTGCGCGCCTCGTCCTCGCCCTGCATGGCGAGCTGCAGCTCGTGGTGCTCCGTGAGGATGCTGGCTAGCTGCCCACTCCGCTGAAGCCCCTCCGCCGTGTAGCTCACCCCACTGTGCCCCCCCCCCACCAGCCACCAGCCACCAGCCACCACAACCGCGCCATCCACCCATCCACCATCACGGTCACGTTCGCGCGTCCAACGTGGGACAAGAGGAGGAGGAGGAGAGGCGGAAGAAGGAGCAGGTGCTGCGGCTGCTGCTGCACCTTTCGCTCTCCAGAGCCGCGAGGGCCTGCACATAGTCGTGCTCGTGCAGCCATTGCTACCCCGCGATGCCGCCGCCGCCCCCCAGCGTGTTAGTGTAGTGTGCCCAGTGGTTGGCCAACGTGCAGCCGGGGGAGGTGGGTAGCGACGTACCTGCACGAGCTGGAGGGTGTGGGTGGCGGAGTAGGCGTTGTAGGGGGTCAGGTAGTCCTCCACAAAGCGGCGACGCGCACCACCAGCCACCACCATTACCGGTGGCAGCAGCGGCAGCAGCAGAAGTGCCGTGTGCTTGCTCGTCCATGGCCTTGGCTGCTTCTTGCTTCGTGGTGCCCTTGGTAGAGAACCGGAAACACTTTTCGCCCGGCGTCGACAGAAAGGGAAAAATGTGGCGCGAGGAAAACCAACCACAGAGGGAGGGGCGTGGCCACAACACCAAGTACACATTCCCGATGGACGAATGGGGCGCACCCCCGACTACGAGTACGACGAAGAGGCCGCGGATGGCGCGCCCCTCCTGCCCAAACGCCATACTTCTGCGGGTGGAGTAGGATCACAATCGAGTAGTACCACCTCGCCATCCAGTGCGGGACCCGACGGGACCGGGACCCCATCATGGGGCGGCAGGAGCAGTCGGAGAAGCGAACACAGAGCAGGAGCACCACGAGGCCGCAGAAGCCGAAGCAGATGCAACGAAAGAGAGCAGGGAGATGGAAAAGGCGATGACAACCTCCAAGCCGTACGCAACAGTTAAGCAACCCCTGCTTGCACGGGTGGGTCCCCACCAGCCACCCGCACGACACCCACCACCCACGCGCAGGCGCCGCTGCAGCTCTCGCCTTCCCCGAAGTGGACGCGGCCCTCAGACTCTACGGGTGGGTGCGTGGCGGGTGGGTGGTCGATTGCACAGGACGAGCGGGAGGCGGCCACCATCGAGTATCTGTTCACGGGCAAGCTCACGCTGTTCCCGCTGGCCATCTTGTTCCTGGGCATCGGGGCCGGGGTGCTGCTGCGCTACGGCGACAAGCCCTACCTGGGCGGCTACTTCCAGAGCGTGGAGATGTACTACGGCATTGCTGGTGCGCCACCAGTCTGGAATCTCCTCGCCCTTTCCTCGCCGTGTGCGCGGGTGCTCGCCTCGTGACGCTGACCGAGGAGGCGGTGGCTGCAGGGCTGACGCTGGCGATCCTGGCGCTGGGGTTCTTCTTTGCGTTGATGCTGTGCATCGTGCTCAAGATCTCCTTCACCTTCAGCCCGGAGACCCTGCTCATCAAGAAGCACGGCGTGTTCCGCTCGGCGAAGCTGGAGTTTGTCATCGAGCGCACGTCCCTCCACTACTTCCGCACGCACTTCTCGGAGGAGGAGGCCTGGCTGCAGCTCGTCGTCAAGGAGGGCAACCAGTTCTACCAGATCTTCAGCTGGAAGGGCAAGGTGCGTCCTCATGCCCAGTCACCTCCTGTCTTGCCTATTGCGCTGACACGACCAACGACACGACACACGACACGCTACGCGTGAGAGTAGGGAAGCCAGAAGGACCGGTTCCTGAAGCTGTTCATCTCGTTGCAGCGCGAGCTGATCAAGTGGCAGCAGCGGTCGGCGCGGTACCGGGTGCTGGGGCGGCCACGGGAGGTGGCGAGCACGGAGATTGTGTCCAAGAAGGAGGTCAACGTCATCAGCCCCTTCACGCACCGCCTCTCGCTCCTCTTCGCCGGCGTGGGCGACTCGACCCGCCCGGGAGCTCCGCTCTGCATTGAAGATATCGCGCCCATCTCCTACGACCGCTTCTTCCGCCACTTCTCGCATACCAAGGCCGTCCACCGCTCCGCCGCTGGCGTTGCATCGCCACGCCTCTGACCCTCCTTCTCTCTCCTCTCCCTCTACTCTCATCTCCGCCACACCCACTCAACCCGGCAGCCGCTTGAAGCGCTCTCGCGTCTGTCCTTCTTTCTCTCTCCGCCCATCACCACCGCCACCATCACAGCGTGTACTATTTATTATGATTGGGGCAGCTCGGCATCATCCACGATCAAGAGGACTCCCTTCTCTCTTTGCAAGGTGGGATGGTCAGGGTTGTGCAACGTATTTGCAGGCACGTGGAAAACGAAAAGGAAAAGCGAAGGAAGAAGGAAGCGAGTTCTCTGCTGTCGCACCGGAGGCACCACCGCGACAAAATAACGAACGGAGGGAGCAACAAGCACAACCAACAACACTGTATAAATCATGGGCGAGGAAGGCGTTTCTGAGTATCTCTACAAGGTTCTCGTGGTGGGCGACATGGGCACCGGTACCCCTCCTCCCCAGACCGTTGCTAATTTGAATCCATCATTCAACATCGATGTGACGCTTCTGCAATAGGCAAAACGGCGATCATTCGTCGTTATGTAAACAACATGTACTCCGACAGCTACAAATCGACGGTACCCAACTTAGCACCTCTCTGCCTGTCCTACAACTGCCGGCTCGGTGCGGTTTTTAATATTTATTTTCATGGTGTAACTCAAATATCAATTAGATCGGGGTCGATTTTGCGTTGAAGGAGATCAACTGGGACTCGAAAACGCTGGTGCGTCTGCAGCTATGGGACATTGCAGGACAGGAGCGATACGGCAACATGACACGTGTTTACTACAAAGTACTCTCACCCCCACCACCGCCTTGGCACATGTTCCTGTCAAGCGCTGACTGCCCTCCCTTCTTGTGTCCCTGCTCGCTCCACTCCAGGAAGCAGTCGGGGCCTTCGTGGTGTTCGACATCACCCGCAATTCTTCCTTCGAGGCCGTCAAGAAGTGGAAGCAGGACATCGACTCCAAGGTATTTTCCTGGTTGCACCCACCCACCCTCCACGCCACGCCACTCCTCCCGACCCCACCTCGTGCGCCGTCCTCATCGGTCGACCCTCGGGTAAACAGGTCACCCTCCATGACCAGCCCATCCCCGTGGTGCTGCTCGCCAACAAGGTATATTAAAAAAATCTATGACCCCCTCTTCCTCCTCCGCCATCACCACCACCCACCCATCACGCGACGTCTACGGGGCGAGGAAGGCTGGCTGACCCAGTTGGCTCTCTCTCTCTCTCTCCCTCCAGTGCGACCTGGTGAAGAACCCGTGCAACGAGGAGGTCATGAACGAATACTGTCGGGAGCACGGCTTCGCAGCGTGGTTCACCACCTCTGGTACGATCCCCCTGGCCCACCCGCATCGATGCTGCTCGCTGAGTCAGCTCTATGAACGCGGCGCTCACCTTCCCTCTTCTGCTGGCTGCCATGGGTCGTCGTCGCAACGCAGCCAAGGAAAATGTAAATGTGGACGAGGCGGTGACGGCGCTGGTGAGCGCCATCTCCAAGCGAACGGGCGGAACAGGCGGTGCGGCGGCTGCCCCAGCGCCAAGCCAGCAGCAGGAGAACATCAAGGTGGCCGGCGGACAGCCAGCCGCCGACAACAAGAGCTCAGACTGCAGCTGTTAGTCTTCTACGCGTCCTCTCCCCTGCTGGGGTGGTGGCCGTGCCACCAGGGCGAAGAAGGGAGAGAAGGGGTGGTTGTTGATCGTGCTGGCTGGAGCTGTGCCGCGCCCAGCCAGTAGCTGTACATAGGCCACAACAACCATCCATGCACACACAACCCAGCCCCAAAACTTCGTGCTGAAAAAATGGCGCGAAACGTTTGTTGTTGTTTTCCCACCCCTTTTCCCCTTCTGCTTCTTTTAGGCCAAGGGGCAACAGCAAGCAGAGGGGAAGAAGGATGAGCAGCACGAGTAGCAGCAGCGGGGGCGCCCCGTCGTCGGGCGGAGGAGGGACGGCGGGCACGTCAGCGGAGAGGGCGGGGGAGTTTGGAGGCTTGCGGCGCTCCAACCGCATTCGCAAGCCTGTCGCGGGTGCCACTACCAACACCGCCAAGGAGAACGCGGCAGCGTCGTGGTCGGACGGCAGCGGGGCTCTCGCTGCGGGTGCCGATGACGGGGACACAGGAGCGCCCTGGACCGAGGCTGAAGTCACGCAGTTCTACCACGGTACCCCCCCCCCAATAACCCATTGCCCTGCCTGGCGACATGGAAGGAGGAGGAGGAGGTTGGCCACCCTGCTGCGCACTTGTTTGACCTGCGGTGGGGTGGTGTGGCCGGCCACACAGGGCTGCGGCAGCACGGCAGGGCGTGGAAGAAGATAGCGTCGGAGCTCAAGAACCGCACCCCGGAAATGGTGGCCGCCCTCTACGAGCAGAACGGCGGCTACCTCTCCCTCCCGCCCGAGCACACCAGCGCTCTGGTACGTGTGCCATGGCCTTCCACCCCCACCATGGGTTTGGCCCTGTCCTCTTGCTGTTGTACCTGTTGGCAGCAAGGAATCCGCGCGCGCACGCAGCATCATCGGCGTGTAATGGTGGCGTGGTGATTGCTGTTTTCTGAGCTGTTTGGTTTGCTTAACGACGAAACGTTAACACAACAGGCGCTCTACAAGATCATCGCCGATCGGCAGCGGCCGCGCCCAGCTGGTACGCCCGCCTATTCTTGCTGGTCCGGAACGCAGCAGAGCAGCGCATCCAATCTCCTCCCTCCCCCGTAATCCAGGGAGCGTTGCCTCGGTCGGAGAGCAGGGTCCGCCCTCCCCGCCTGCCACGCGCAAAAGCCAGGTCTCCAAGGCACACACATATGCCCTCCTCCACGCTCTCCTCGTTTCCGCTTCGCTCTGTCTGCTGGCGCGCTCATGGCGCAGCGTGGGCTTGTGTGTCGTGTGTAGAGGAGTGCCGTCACGCCTCTCCAAGGTGCGGCGGAGAGGAAGAAGCTACAGATGCAGGTAGCCCGCCCCGTCTTGCCCGCCCACCTTGCGTTGGGCCTGTCACTCACCCACCAGCGTGTGTGTGTGTGTGTGTGTGCATTCCAGCGATCGGCCACGGAGCCCCGGCGGGACCGCAAGCGCAAGCTGTTCGACAGCCCTCCGCCGCCGGCCGACCGTTCACGCCGCCGCTCTGCCATCACTTTCTCCGGCCGCAAGGAGCTGGTGCTGCCTCCGCCCCTCCGCTACATTCGGTCTTTTTTTGGCGGTACGCTCACGCGGGCTGCCTGTTGCAGAACGACGACCGGGACATGGAAGCGGAGGAGGAGGAGGAGGAAGGGTACGCCGATGAGGAGGAGGAATCGGTGGCCGGCCCGCGCAAAGGCCGAGGCTCGACCACCACAGCCAGGAGTAGTACCCGACGGGCGCCCCTGGAGGCGCCCTCTTCCTACGCGGCGAGCAGCAGCGGCAGTGGCGCGCAAATGACGGACGCCCTGCCGCCCAAGCTGCGCGCCAAGTGGGCGAGCAGCAAGCACCACTTGCAGCCGCCCCCCGCCTCCCGCTCCACGCCCACGCGCGAAGCCAAAGTACGCCACCACCTCGTGCGTCCTTCCCCGCCGCTCCTCCTGGGGCTCACCAACTCTCGTGCGATCGCAGCGCAAGCGGGCTTCGGACACGCGTGCGGAGTCGAACGACAAGGCCAAGGCCAAGATCCAAACCACGCTCACCAACTTCATGAAGTCGGAGCGTACGGCCAAGTGGAGCATGTACGAGTGGTTCTGCGCCGACATGGACCGGCCCTTCTTCGAGTACAACGACTTCCAGCACTGCCTCAACGAGATGGGCCTGGGCCACATCACCCACCTCACACGGTAGTGCTGCTTCCCCCCTTCCCGCGCTCGAGCCCAGCACGCAAGCCAACCCTCCCCCCCCCTTCTTTCGTTGCCGCATACGCCCAGGGTGGAGTGGGGCCACGTGCGGAGTGTGATGGGCAAGCCTCGGCGGTTCTCGCAGGCCTTCCTCCAAGGCGAGCGCGCCAAGCTGCACGATTACCGCGCCAACATACGCGAGCTGCGTAACGGCAAGGTACACCGAGTTCCCCTCCCGCGCGCAACACGCGTATTTCCCTGCACCGCACTAGTGCTGCAGCCGTTGTGTGCGCTTGTCTGATACTAAGCACCGGGTGTCCCTCCTGCCAGAGCCCGATCTCGCGCTCCTTTTACCCTCCCGTGTCAGAGATACCGCTGCCCATGCCCATCGGCGTGCACGCCCTAGGTGCTCGCACCACCCGCCACCACGTGATGTTCATTCATATATACAACCTCCTATCTTCAGTCGAGGGGGCGCAGTGCACTCATCTGGTGTTGTGGCGTGGCGTGGCGTGGCGTGGCAGCTTTCCATCCCTCGCAGCGGCGGCTGTCGCGAGGCGTGGTGATTGCGGTGGGCGATGGGCAGTACCAGGTGGATTTTATCGACAAGCAGATGAACGCGAACCTGGGAGGCATCTGGGTGGCCGACACCGATTTGATGACCCACGAACCCCGCTCCTCCTTCGCGGCTGACTACCCCGGACAAGAGTCTCCGCGTACCCCCACACGCGCCGGCTCCGGTACGCCGCACACGGCACGACACGACACATAGAACGCACTGGGTCTGCGGTCGCTAATCGAGTTTCCGCGCTGCAGTGACACACGTCCAGTATCCGCAGGAAGATCTGCAAAGCATGGTGGGCCTGCTGCGCTTGCTGCTGCAGAAAGAGCAGTGTATCGCACAGCTTCGCGAAATGAACAACAAAGCCGAATCAGTAACTCCGCCGCCCTAGAGGCTCTCTCCTTCCGCTGGCCACCTCATCTGACCTTTGTTGGTGTGCTCTGCAGGCCGTGGGACGAGCCGATGAGTGTGGGGAGGAGTTCCAGAAGCAGTACGCGCACATCGTGGTGAGCCTCGCCGAGACCAACCAGCTGGTCGAGCCCGCCTTGCGGCGCGTGCACGCCCGCTCGCCCCTTGTACCTCCTCCCTCTCCTCTTGAACAACTCGCCACTCATGCAGTGCAGGAGAGCTAACATCTAACGATCACCGTCCTCGGTCGTGCCACGCTCCCCAATCCAGCACTCGCCCGAGGCCGACCGAAACGTGAGGTGGGTCTTCCCCTCGCCCACAGACTCACCTTCGTCCTCTCCCGTGAAGCCCGGCAACGGCCACGAGACAGCAGCGGCCGCGCCGGCGGGTGTCACTGACACGAGCGCGAGCGAACCAACCAGCGTCTCTGCTCCACCACCGTCGACTCAGCCCTCTGCTTCCTCTTCCTCTACTGCTGCTCCGGCCCCTCCCGCCTCGGAACCGTGAAAAAGGCCTTGGGCCAGCGCAACAAAAAAAGGCGCCAAACCAAAAATATGACCAACGACCCAAACGTTTCTTTTTGGATTCTGCTCCCAACGCAAACCTAAGATCCCTCTGCGGTCCCCGATTGATGGTACGTTCAGCTTGATACGCGAGGCCGGCGCCATACTCTTGCTTGCGCTAATGATTATGTTGCTGCGGTATGCAAAAACAAAGAGCTTGATTACAAGTTACTTCAATCGACCGAAGGGCGCTAAGCCTCCCGCTGCCGGTACCCTCCCTTTTGCATTGCGGTTGCACACCTGTGGCCCTGTCGGACATGGCCAGAAGCTAGTTATTATTGATGCATTTTTATTTATTTATTTTTGTTTCTCTTATTCAAAGTTTGATTGTGTGAATTGATTTCTGAATATCTTCCCTCTGCGCTCGTGCAGCCAGCTCCCAGCCCGATGACGACGATTTTCGAAGCTCCGTACGCTACCCTCTGCATCTTTTTCTTGAGGCCGTGGTGTGCAAGGGCTGCGCTCATGCCCCCTTTGTGCCGTGAAGAGTGAAGAAGGGCGTGAAAAGAGGACGTGAGCCAGCGGCGAAGAAGGAGACAACAACAGCAACCAAGGCTCGCGAACCGCCGGCAAAGAAGGTCAAGAAGGCCGCTGGTACGCGTCCCTCGTCGCTACATCACCGAGTGTGACACCTCAGCTCAGAGGTCATGACGCCCCCCCCCCAATATATTTATCTATGGGAACAGAGGAGCTGCCGTGGCCCGACATCGTGCAGGAAGGTACTGAAGACGAACCCACGCCCAAGGCCAAGGCCAAGACCAAGGCCAGCGCCGCCAGCACGCGCCCCACTCTGCGGGCCAAGCGGCGGCCAACGGAAGCGGTGAAAGAGGAAGAAGAGGAGGAGGTGGAGGCACAGCCGAAGCGGAGCACGCCGACCAAGAAGAAGGCGAAGAAGGCGCACACCAAGCAGCAGGAGGAGGTGGCGGCGGCGGACGACATCCCGTGGGACGACGACGTGGAGGACGTGGACGACATCCCGTGGGACCAGCCCACCACCACCGCCACTACGCCCACCAAGAAGGCCGCCACCGCGAGGACGACGAGAGGCGAGACTCCCGGCGAGAGTCCGGGCAAGAAGAGCAAAGCGGCGGCGGCGGCAGCGAAGCCCGAGCCGAAGAGTCCCGTAAAGAAGGTGAAGCCGTCCGAGGCCAAGAGCCCCGCCAAGAGCCCGGCCAAGTCGACCACCACGACCGTGATCGAGAGGAAGACCCCTGTCGTCGAGAAGAAGGTCGTCGAAGCCAAACCCGCGCCCGCCAAGAGAGGCGGCGGTGGCGGCGGCTATCCGTTGTACGACACACGACACACACACACCGATCTCCCGTTAAATCTCTCCCACGTTCGTGGCGTTCGTGGCATTGACCTTCCCTCCAAATGGGGTGTGTCGCGCAGCTGGATGCAGAATAGGGCCGGTCCGCCGCACCTGGGCATGAAGGACTTGCCCGAGGGCAAGCCGTGGTGCCTGTGGGGCAAGGTGTTCATGTGCACCGGCGTGCTGGACTCGCTCGAGCGCGATGACTGTTTCACGCTCATCGAGCACTACGGGGGCACGGTAGCTAAGAGCGTCACCAAGAAGCTCACCCACGCTGTTGTCGGCACCGACGCCGGAGCCAAGAAGCTCGAGCAGATTGAGGTTCGTCGGGGGCTCTTTTTTTTCTTTTCTTTTCTTTTTCTCTCCTGGTTTTTCTCACTACTTGGGTTCGAAACCCAAACAGGCGCGGAAGGCGCAGGGGCTCGTCGCCCTGGACGAGGATGGCCTCTTCGACCTCATCCGCAACTCGCCGGAGCATAGGCCGTCAGCGGCGGAGATCGCCAAGTTCAACAAGCAGCGCAAGACCGAAGGCGCTCCCGCCAAGCCCAAGGCTCTCCAAACCGCCGCCCCGCTCCTTCCTTCCCCCACGCCCGCTTCGGCCGAAGAAGAGCAGAAGAAGGGACCCGAGGTACCTCTCGTCTTCCACCCTCACCACCACGTGACACTCGAGGGCGAGTTCGACCGAAGGTGACCTATCATGACGTTCCTATGCATCGCGCGGGGGGGTTCAGTTGTGGGTGGAAAAGTACAAGCCCAAGTCGACGAAGGAGGTCATCGCCAACCCCGCGGCGGTGAAGAAGCTGCAGGACTGGCTGCAGGGGTGGCAGCGATCGGAGGTGCAGCGCGCCAAGCGTGGAGAGGCGCCCGCTCGCGGTGCCACACAGAAGAACGCCGCCCTGCTCAGCGGACCGCCCGGCATCGGCAAGACCACGACCGCCCACCTGGTCGCCGCCGAGTGTGGCTACTACGCGCTCGAGTTCAACGCCTCCGACACCCGCTCCAAGAAGATGATCAAGGTATCTACGCTACACCTCGCGAGCAACGTTTCAGTTTTCGTTCTATATACGATGACCCATCGATGGTGCTCACCACTTTCCTGTACAGGAGCACCTGGCCCAGTCGACCGAAAACAGAGGCCTGGCCGAATTCTTCACCGTACGAGATCTCACACGACACACACACATACGACCAACATGGGGGATTGATTCTCGCTCCAGGCCGCCGTTCAGCTCACATATCTCCCCCCCCCGTGTGGCTTATGTGTGGGCACAGGGTCGTGGAGGGGAAGACGGGAAGACGGTGCTGATCATGGACGAGGTGGACGGCATGTCGTCCGGCGACAGAGGAGGCATGGCCGAGATCATCGCCCTCATCAAGAAGACCCACATTCCCATCATCTGCCTGTGCAACGACCGCGCCTCGGCGAAAGTCCGCTCCCTGGCGAACTACTGCCTGGACATCCAGCTCCAGAAGCCCACCACCCAGCAGATCCTGGGCCGCGTGACGCAGATCCTGCAGCGCGAGAACATCGCCATCGACAACGCCACACTCACCCGCATCGTCGGTGCGCACCACCACCATGACAGACCCCAACGCCATCTCTCTGTGCGCGTCGTGTGTTGCGTGTCGCCCGACCCCTTTGCGCGTATGTGCTGACCCGAGCATGGGGGGGGGGTGCAATAGACGCATCGAACGGCGATGTGCGTCAGCTGCTGAACATGCTGCAGATGCTCACGGTCAAGTCCAAGGACCTCGGCACCCTCTCCGCGCCCGAACTGCAGGAGAGGCTGCGCACGAGCCTCAAGGAGGTGGAGCTGGGTCCGCTCGACGCCGTGAACAAGCTCTTCAACGCCACGGAGTACCAGAAGCTGTCGCTCGACGCCAAGCTGGACCTCTACTTCATCGACCCGTCGTTCGTGCCCCTCTTCATCCAGGTACGGAGCACCCTCCCTGCCTCCTTTATTATTATTGTATTATTATTATTTATTATTTATTATTGTATTAATCATTATTGTATTAATCCGGATGGTGGTGGGTGGGTGGGTGGTGGTGGTGCAGGAGAACTACCTCCACTGCAGGCCGCGGCGGGCGCGCAATGTGAGCCGCAACCCGGAGGTGGAGCGGCTGGTGGAGATGGATCTGATCTCGCAGGCGGCCGACTCCTTCTCGGAGGCCGACCTGTTCGACGTGGCCATCCACCGCGACCAGGACTGGTCGCTGGCGCCCATCCACGGCGTGTTCTCGGCCATCCGACCTGCCGAGTTCATGACGGGCAACCTGGCGGGCCGCATCGACTTCCCCAAGTGGCTGGGCAAGTTCTCGTCGCGCAAGAAGCGGTTCCGTCTGCTCACCGAGCTCGCCGTGCGCATGAGCGCCACCACCTCGGGCGACAAGGCCCTGCTCCGCCTCGACTACCTCCCGCACCTCGTGCGGCCTCTCACGGCCCCGCTCGCGAAGAAGGGCGCCGACGGCATCGACGAGGTGCTCGCCCTCATGGACGCCTACGGGATCACCCGCGAGGACTGGGACACGGTGCTCGAGCTCATGGAGCTGGGCGACAAGGACTGGGCCAAGTCGATCCCCACCAACGTCAAGACCGCCTTCACCCGCAAGTACAAGGCCGCCCACCTGGCCGTCAAGTCGGCCCCCGCCCGCAAGGGCACCGTCAACTACGTCCTCCCGGAGGAGGCCGCCGCACAGGGCCGCGACGGCGACGACGAGGGCGACGACGCCTTCAACGACGATGAGGCGGGCGAGGGCGAGGGTGACGAAGGCGACAGCATGATCGTGGCCCGTGCCTCCAAGAAGGGCGCGGCCAAGGGAGCCAAGGGAGGCGCCAAGAAGCCCGCCGCACGAGGAGGCGCCGCGGGACGAGGGCGAGGCCGCGGGGAGACAGCCAAGGCCAAGGCCAAGTAAAAAAGGGGCCGCGTTCTTGTGCGATCGGTTTTCCTTTTTTAATTGTTTTTTTCCTTTCGTATATCCTTGGCACCACCTTTTTTTCGCAGTTTCCACCACCCCTTTTTTTTTCGCCACGAGCCGCGGTTGGCCTGACGGCCCATTGGTTGCGCTGCATTCGGGATACGGGACGCCCACGCGAATGGCTCGGTCGTGCGGTGGCCCTTCTTTTCTTCCCTCACCCCAGCGCTCTCTAGCTCAGCGTCGTTCTTCCCGTTCTTGTTCTTACCCCCAACCACACCCCTCACACACCACCCTACCACCATGGCCGATTGTACGTCCTCGCATCTCGCAGCCTTCCTCTCGCCTTTTCAATGCTCGCGAATTAGCCCCTTCTCACCGTTTCCGGGTCTACGCGACAGACTCGCACTACGAATCCCTCGCCAAGAACTGGATCGGCAGCATCACCAAGCAGCCCGTCAACGACTTCGAAGCCGATCTCAAGAGCGGCGTCGTCCTCTGCAAGTGCGCGCTCCTCCCGCTCATTTCTTGTCAATTCTTTCGTTCTACACGGTTTTTTTTTGTCAATTTTGACACTTGCTTTTGGTGGTACCCTGTAGCCTTGTCAATGGCATTCGCCCCAACACCATCCTCAAGATCAACACCTACAACGCCGCCTACCGTCAAATGGTACCCCCCCTTTTGGCATTCATCATTCGCGATTCGCGATGGCTCATCCCCCCAATTTCAGGAAAACATCGACAACTTCCTGAAGGTTGTGGAGAAGCTGGGCGTGCCCGCCGGCGACAAGTTCCAGACTGAGGATCTCTTCTACGGCAACAACATCGCCAAGGTGGTCCTCACCGTCCTCTCGTTCGCCAACGCCATCCAGGGCCAGTTCAGCGCCCCCGCCGTTGACACCTCCGGACTGGACGTACGTGGCCCCTCTGCCCTCCTCTTTCCCGTTTTGTCGCTACACTGGCTCTACACACGGGGGCAAGCACCCCTCTCGCGAGGAACCGCGCAGCTCAACGATCGCTCGCTCTCTCTCTCTCTCTCTCCGCCTTTGCGTGCACACAGAACCTGAGGCAGATCGCTTCGTCGGCTCAGAAGGAGGGTCGCCAGAGGGAGAAGACCAGCGGTCTCTCGCTCCTCGAGGAGGGTGCCAAGAAGGCGCAGGTGCAGGCCTCGGCGGCGTCGAGGACTGCCGACAAGCTCATCCAGAGCCGCGAGAAGTCGGTCGACACCTCGGGTTCGCTGGGCCTGATCGAGAGCGGCCAGAAGGAGAAGCAGGCCATGATCTCTGATGCCAAGCGCTCGGGCACCGACAACATCATCATGAGCAGGGAGAAGGCTCAGGCCACCGCCGAGCTGGGCTTCATCGATTCGCAGCACAAGGGCCACCAGGCCATGATCTCCGACGCCAAGCGCTCTGGCACCGACAACATCATCATGAGCAGGGAGAAGGCTCAGGCCACCGCCGAGCTGGGCTTCATCGACTCGCAGCACAAGGGCCACCAGGCCATGATCTCCGATGCCAAGCGCGCCGCCACCGACTCGATCATCAAGAGCACTGAGAAGGCCCAGGCCAGCGCCGAGCTCGGCCTGATCGAGAGCGGCCAGGTCCAGAAGCAGCAGATGATCTCCGACGCCAAGCGTTCGGGCACCGACAACATCATCATGAGCAGGGAGAAGGCTCAGGCCACCGCCGACCTCGGCTTCATCGACTCGCAGCACAAGGAGCACCAGCAGATGATCTCCGACGCCAAGCGCTCGGGCACCGACAACATCATCAAGAGCAGGGAGCAGGCCCAGGCCACCGCCGAGCTGGGCTTCATCGATTCGCAGCACAAGGAGCACCAGCAGATGATCTCCGATGCCAAGAGGCCCGGCACCGACAACATCATCAAGAGCAGGGAGCAGGCTCAGGCCACCGCCGAGCTGGGTTTCATCGACTCGCAGCACAAGGATCACCAGGCCAACATCTCCGACGCCAAGAAGACCCAGCTCGACCAGATCGTCAGGCAGCCCGTCGGCGGCGGCGGCGACGACTCTGTCAACCTCTAAGCGATAGTGTCTCTTCCACGTTTTTTTTGTAGTGTACACCCGGTTTTCCCCCTCCTCTTTTCCTTCGCGGCGAGACGTGCGCGTCGAGGTGTACACACACCTCTCTGCGGCAGCAGACGTGGGCTATTTATTGTCTGGGACGGCTGTGTTCCCTTCACCTCTGGTTTGGCTCTCCTTCAACACAACAACGACACTGCTGCTCTCGACACTCTTGTCCACTTCCTGTCCACAATGTGTCATTGCACTGCGCGTGGAACATAGTGGCGGGCAGGCAGCTCGTGCCCAAACTTCACGTGAACGATTAAAATTGTTACTGCTCCCTCAGTACAGTGGGCTGAGGTAGGACTGAGGCACATAACCAGACTGGCCACCAAACTCAATCAACCACCTGTAAGCCAAGACAGTGTGAGTTTTCAGGACCCAACCGGCAGCGGGTGAAGATAGAGGCGCACCAATCGCCGTTGGGCGCCGATTCCGCAAGGTGGACGATGGTGCCGGAGAAGACGTTGATCTCCCCCTCGCTCTGGGCCTGGAAAGTGTAGAGGACCTTGGCCTTCGCCGGCTGCCCGCCTGGCGCGGCTGCCCGCGGGCTCTTCGCTGCAGCCTGCGCCCCTGCCTCCTGCTGCTCACCTTCTTCGTCCTCTTGTTGCTGCTGTTGTTGTTCTACCTCCTCTTGTTGCTGCTCGGCGTAGGCTGCTGTGTTGGTGGAGTCAAGGGCCAGCAGCTGCTGCGCGACAGTGGCCTGATGGGCGGCGAGGGAGGCCAGGGCCTGGTCCAACTGCTCCAGCTCGGCCATCGCAGTCTTCTGCGCCGCCTGGTCCTTGGCGTAGAACGTGACCAACTTCGCGACTCCAGTCCTGATTTCACCACCGCGCGCCATGAGCACCGCGATGTGTCGTGTTTTGTGGGGTGTGTGTCGTGTGTTACCGTGTTTGGGTTTTGGAGGTGATCTGCGCATCGAGGTCGCTCTTCTGTGCCGTCAGTTTGGATCGCTGCTGGTCGGCCGACAGGCTCTGCCGATCGGCTTCCGTGAGGCCCCATTCCTGCTGCTGCTGCTGGGCAGCCTTGGCCGCATCTGCGTGTGAGCCCCCGAGGCAACCATCAGCAAAGGCTCCCTCTGGGGCTGAGAGAAAGCGTGCGAGCGTGCGTGCGGCGGGAGGGCGCACACGCACTCTTTTGGTCCTTTGCTCGGGCGTTGTTGGAGCCGCGGGGCGACATGGGGCCTCCGATCAGGCCGTAGCATTCGTCGCACACCTTGTGCGTGCCCTGTGCGCGTGGACCGGTGAACACACCACCGACCATCATCATCATCGCACGAACGGTGATTGGGGGGATTGGAGGAGGGGGGGGGGATGGGCTGGACGGCGCACCTCGTTGTTGGGCGGGATGCTGTGCTTCTTGTCGGTGCACTTCTTGCACGTCACGCGACCGCACATCCGGCAGTGGTGCTGCAGATCACGACACACACACACACACACAACGACACACAACGACACGCACGATACGCGCGACACGTGAGCAGGGCGGGCTGCAGAGAATCGGGAGGGGGGGAAGTGGTGCCTTGCGGAAGAAGGCGGTGAAGTTGGCGTTGCAGATGGCGCAGCGGCTGGCCTGCTCGTCGGGAATCCAATGCCGCTCTAGATCGAAGCGGACCGAGGGGAACTTGCCGAAGAATGTGAGGTAGGCGAAGATCGCCGCCGGCCCGCCGACCACCAGCTCGCCGGGGATTCCGACCTTCTTGCCCTCCTCCACGTGCAACTCCTTCAACTGCGTGAGCGCCCCCAGAGGCGCCATTTCCTGCGTGTCACGGACCAGAATGTCAGGAGTGCGCGCATGTGTCGTGCCGTGTGTCGTGCCGTGTGTCGTGTGCCGTGTGTCGTGTGTGGTACCTTGATGCCGTCGTTGAAGGCGAGGGAGATGCTGGTGAGGGAGGTGATCTGAGGGATGACGGGAGGGAAGGCGGCGAAGTGGTTGTTGTTGATCATCAGCTGCTGCAGGCGCGACAGGCGGCTCATGTCCAGCGGGAGGTGGGTGAGCTTGTTGTTGGCCAGGTGCAGCACCTCCAGGCTCGCCACGTCGCCTGGCGATCAGGCAGCACCCCCGGTCATGCGTGAGGCGTTCGTGTTCGTGTTCGTGTTCGTGCGCGAGTGACACTCGCCCAGTTCATTCGTTCATTAATTGGATTGGAAGGGGACGAGTACCGATGGCCGAGGGCAGCTCGGCGAGCTGGTTGGAGTCGAGGGAGAGGTGGGTGAGCTGCTTCAGCTGCCCGATGCTCTCCGGCAAGTACGTCAACGCGTTCCGGTCCAGCTCTGCAGCGCCGAGAAAGAGCACCACAACGGAACAACCAATTGGCACCTCCCTTTTTATTTTATTTGTATTTGTTATTGAATTTTGCACTAATGGTAATAATATAATAATAATTGTAAATATCATCGGGCTCGGGGTTGGTGCAACGTACCGAGGCGGGTGAGGGCGGTGAGGGCGCCGAGGTGTTGGGGCAGGGCGTAGAGGCGGTTGTCGGCGCACTGGAGGGCGAGGAGCTGGGAGAGCCACGGGACGTCGTCGAGGCTGGTGGGCAGGGTCTCGAGCTTGTTGTGCTCCACGTTGAGCTGCTGGGGCGCTCGGATGAACCCCGTACGCAGGAACTCCAGGAGCTGCTCCGGCAGCTGCGGACCCAGCGAGAGGCCCTCGAGGCCCAGCTTGGTGAGCTGGTTGCTCTCGTAGTCCTCCACCCGCTCCTTCAGGTGCACCTCCTTCCACTCCTCCATCTTCTTCCTTCTCTCGCGTCGGCAGTTTTAACTACTTTTTATTTTTATTATCTCAAATGAAACCACAGTGACGAATGGACGATTCTGCGCTGGTCGCACGGTGAGGAACAATCCCATCGCGCCGTTGGGGGTTCGCTTCTTCCGCTAGTGTTCCGCATGCGCCGCAACGCCCGGCTCTGAGGATCTCTGTGGTGCGTGTGGTGGTCGTGGTCGCGGTGGCGGTGGCGGCGGTGGCGGTGGCGGTGCAGTCGACATGTCGGCGTCGCCGCTGATGGCTTCCGTTATGCCTCCACCACCGCCAAGAGCGTGCTCTCGGGCCACATCAGCAAGCACCTGTTGAACCTCCCAGGTGCGCCCACTGCTCCACCCCCCCCCCGCTACCACACGTATCATTTCTCACTGCGTGTCATGTTGCGTGTGCGGTGGTCTCATGTTGCGCGCAAACAGACGAGCCCGAGTCCGGCGGTGATGGCGGTGGCGGTGCGGTGCGGTGTGCGCTTAAACAACACGCCCACTCTCACAGGTATTTACTCAACGAAGTGTCGTGTGTGTGTAGTGTGTTCTTGACCACAACAAGTCGTGCACGACTATGGGTGGTCACCACCCCAACACGACTGGGGACTTGGAATTCAACCCAACCCAACCTTCCTTTTGCCGAACCAAAAGCCACGCTTCTGCCCCAATGTGCTGCTTTGCTCGGCCACTCGATGGGCCAAAGTCCTGCGTGTCGTGTGTCGTGTCGTGTCGTGTCGTGTCAGTGCGGGTGTCAAAAAAGGCGAGGAGATTCTCACCTGCTTAGCTCTGTCGCTCAATGCGGTGGACCCGGTGAAGTCGCCGCAGCACCTTCAACCAGCATATCAGAAGGAATGGGCTGCGGGCGACGTGCGGGGAGAGGAGGAGCAGCAGCAGCAGCCGCAGCCGCAGCAGGCGCTGGCAGTTCGAGGAGGAGGCCTAGATGGAGGCCCTGATGATGAGGCCCTGCTGACCAGGGGGACCTGGCTTGGGCGAGGTGGGCCTTGCTCCTTGTCTTTGGGGCTTTGAAGGTGAAGGAGACCACCTTCATCACCTTTGGCACTGCTGGCACATTGCTATCCTGCTTCTTCAGGATTGATTGCTGGACATGCGCCTGGCCCTGAGCTGGCAGTATGGCCACAGGTGTGCCATTGGAGGCCATGCACACATTTGCTCAAGCATCTGGTGCAGATGCTTTTGAACATCCAACAGCAGAAGAACACATGCTTCTTGGTGCCTTGGCACCCCCACCTCAACTTTCCACCCACTGCCCTCCAGGTCAAGGTATGCACCCAAAGGGCACATCTTTGTACATGCTTGCAGATCTCTATGTGCCCCACCCCAGCAATGATGTACCAGTTCTGGACTTACCAGAGAGATCACTGGGGTAGGGCATGTAGAGATTGGCAGAGTTGAACACATTGATGCTGGGCACACAAGGCTGCAGCAGGTAACACACACCCACACGCCCTTCATGATGATCACTGTCTGAGATCGACAAAATCATCAGCGGAACGGCCTTTGACTTGCGGCTGTTGGCTCGGCAAGTGTTAATAGGCCAGTGGGCGAATTGTCCAAAACCCCGGTTCGGCAAATGGGCATTTTTTTGTTGTAATGATTGTCGGGCCTGACCGCAAGAAAACTGCCTGTTGTTGTTTTTCTACTGAAGCATAAGATGACGCACACCGGTAGGTTCCTTCTCGTGGTGGCGGTCCTGGCCCTTGCTGCAGCTACCACCTCCAGCGCGGCCAGTTACCAGGTCCAAATTGATCTGGACCCTGTCACCTTGACCGAATTGCACGAATCGCAGCAGGCCATTCTGCTGGCCCAGCAGGCCCCGCCCGGCTGCTGGAGCACCGTGTGGGCCGCGGTTACCAGCCCCTTCATCCACAATTACCTCTCCTGGAACGAGACGAGGGGCATTTCGATCTACGCCAGCGTCACCACGTTGGCCGAGGGCCGCCAGATCTTCATGGGCAACTGGCGCAACCACGTCGACCTGGGCTTCCTCTACGGCTTTCACGACGGGTTGTTCGACACCCGCCAGCCTCGCGATTGGCTGGCCCAGAACGAGCTGGCTGTCTTCAACAACGACACGGGCGCGCTCGCGTTCGGCCTGGCCCAAGACATCCAGGTCAACAACCGATGGACCGTCATGCCCCCACTGTTCGCCTGCGAGATGATTGGAGACGAGTACGAGGTCTTCCCGTCGAGCACCAGCTTCTACATCTTCATCGGCGCCCGCACTGCGCCCGGCACCATGACCCAGAACCTGAAGCGCGTGGCCCGCTCCCAGATGACCCTGGTCACCTTCAACGACTCCACCGACAAGGTCCTCCTCTCGTGGGACCGGGACAGTGGTCGCTTCATCGTCGGTGGCTTATAAGCAGCCCAAATAACAGCCATAAATAAACTGGATTGTTGGGCAGTTGGTTTGTTTGTTTATGCGGGAAGAAGTGTCGTGTGTGTCGTGTGTGTGTGGTGTGTGAAAGTAGTACCTGCGTGCGTGAGGGGTGGTTGGGATCGGGCGGCACCAGCACGTCGAGCGACTCCGCGCAGCGCTCCCTACAACCCACCACAGCAATCGTTTGAGAACACGCGCACACAACCGCACGCACGCACGCACGCACAATACCTGGTGTCCTCAGGCAGCGCACGGGAACATCGTGTTTGTTGGAGAGCGGGATGCAGGAAGTCCACGATCTGGCGGAGACTGTATGTGCGCCACTAATGATGAATCGCGCTGCACTCGTGTCGTGTCGTGTCGTGTCGTGTCGTGTCGTGTCGTGTCGTGTCGTGTCGTGTCGTGTCGTGTCGTGTCGTGTCGTGCTGTGTGCGGCGGAGGCAGAGAAGCGTACATGGACAGGGCCTCCACGTCGTTGGTGAACGAGCCGTGGGCCCCATAAACCACACACACACGACGCATGACACGACACGGCGAGGACGCGCCATCGCGCGAGTGCTACCTGAGCGACTGTGCCGTGCCAACCCGCTCATCGGTGACGACGAAGACGAGTTCGAATGATAACTGCACAAATAGGACCTAAAAAAAGGAATTGACCAAAATAAATAAAAAGGGTCTTTTTATTTATTTGGTCATTTTATATTTCTAAGTTGCGCGCGTAGAGGCGGAGGCTTGTGGCGTGGGGTCGACCCGCTAGTGGGTACCGGGAGTGCCGAACATGCTGTCCTGGCCCGGGGGAGGAGCCCACCCGAACAGCTATGATATTTGAGGTATATACAAACACACAATGCGGCAGCGCAGCGTTAGTATGGTGGCGCGGAGGGCCAGGAGAGGGGAAGAAGTGCGCACCTTCTGCACGGAGGTACGGAGGCTCATGCTGCACAGCGCTGTTGGAAGCAGCAGCATCACCACCACCGCATTAGGAAAGGAACACACGGCAGAGAGCTGGTGCGCGGGCGACGCGTACCGTAGATGAAGGCGGCTGAGCACTCGTAGTAGTCGACACCCAGAAGGCCCCGGTGGGAGATGCTGCGCACCAAGGGCATCGGCTCGAAGGGCAGCTGTGCTCATGGCCAACGCATCGGGCAACACGTTCGCACACCACCGCGCGCACGTCAGGCCACATTCGTGTGCGGTGGTGCGTGTGTCATGCTACGCGTGTGTGGTGTGCCGTGTGCGGTGGTGCGTACCCGGGCCACGACGAGGCCACCGAAGCTGGAGTTGATGACGCCAAAGAGCGACACGAGGGTGATACCGATGACGAACATGGACTTCATCTTGGACTGCGTGAGCTCTCGGTTGGCCTCCTGGAGCTGCTGCTCGTACTGCACGATGCGCTTGTCACGGCTCTTCTTCTTGTCGATGCTCTGAGGACCGTCCTTCTTCTTCTCCACTATCATACGAAGGGTGTTGTAGCAAAAGATGAATAAATAAATAAATAACAATTTACCGAAGTAGCGCCTCCCCCCATCAAAAAGAAAAGGAGAGTGTGCATACGCTTCTTGGTGAGCTTCTCGACCTTGCCCTGCAGACTGGAGTAACTCTCCGTTCGGTAGATGAGCAGCCACGACAGCACTACCCCCCCCCACGGACGAACGTCAGCATTTCTCTTGAATCAGTCGGCACTCCCCTTGTTTTCATCAAGAAAGAATTGAGGAGGGGCGAGGTGCACCTTCGGCAGTGACCGCGCTGGCCAAGGAAATGGCGAAAATTTGCACGCAGTCCCACACCATCTTCTGCTGTTCGTGATGGCCGGCTGATTAAAATGGGATTTCTTTTCCTCTTTTCACCGTTCGTTTCTCCGCCCGGCCACACCCAAATCGGAATCGATTGTACAACGAACAGAACAAGACGCCCTTCTCCATCTCCATCGCGCGGTCACCACGAGAACTCGGCTGTTCTCGCTGCAGCCCTTTCCGACATCATTGGGGCACTTGCGTGAAGGACGAGCGATCAACAGTAGTGTAGTAGCAGCAAGCCATCTCAACACCTAGCGCCACAATAATAATAATAGCACCACACACAGCATGGAGCGGGAAAGCCAGAAGACGGTGCAGGAGTACTTCTTGCTGGTAGAAAAGTCCCAACAACTCTTTGCTGGCCTCAGGTGCCCCCCCCCCCACAACACCAATCTGCACTTCAGTTTCCACCC